GCCACACCCTTCCTCTCTCTATTTATTTCTGAGATCCCATCTGCACCCCCCCCCCACCATTTCTGAAGAAGGGCCCCGACCCAAAACGTCAACTTTCCTGCTTCCCGATGCTGCCTGACCTGCTATGTTTCTCCAGCTCCACACTGTGTTATCTATAACAAACTCTAACCTGTCTGTTTGTCATGATACTATTTTTTCACAATTTTGAATGATTGCGCTACTTATTAATCATTACCCCACTTCGTTTTAGTGTTATTTGGTTTTTATTTCTTATACCTTTTCCTGAATGAGAAAGGCTTTTTTGTGCTTGCCTTATCTATTAGATGGTGGCAGCATTTTATTATTTTCATCTCAGATTTCCAACATCCATGGAACCTCACTTTTGTTTTTGTGTTAATGTTACCTCTAATGCTGTTCATAATCGAGATTTTGTGCACATCCTCCTTTTTTTTAATCTTTACAATTATGGCTTACATTATTACCTGTTCCTCTTCTCTTCTGCCCTTTTCATCGCCATAACTTCTTTCCTAAAGTACCTAAAACCACCCTACTTGCAGTCAATAATATTGGTTTAGTATTCACTCTTGTCTAGGTCATTATTTGTGAAGCCTAGAATCATATTCATATAGGATTTTTTTTGAACCAACATATCAGCTTATTTTTTCAGCTTTAAATATCTGTACATCTGAAATCCTTAGTGTTGCTGGCCCACATCTTCTTTATGCTTTTTCCATTTAGTATATATATATGTATCTCAACTATAACATTTCATCTTTATCTACATTAATTCTTTTTTCTGAAATGTCTCTATCCAATTTGCTAACCTCACTTTGCCTTCTTCACTTATTGCACCCATGTCTTCTGCATATTTTAATTATTTGCAGCAAAGTCTATTTGATATGTTGAGAAGAATACTTAACATTGAAGGTACCTTTGCTTAAATCCCTCTAGTGAAAAAATAACATTCAAATCAAGCATATGATTCATGTGATGTGAATATTGCTGGCAAGGTCATCACTTATTGCTCATAAGTTGATTGGCTTGCCATTGAATAAGGCAGTTAAGAGTTAGCCACATTGCTTTGATCTGGAGTCACATGTGTAAGAAAAGCAGAACTCCCTACTTAGTGAACCAGGTGGGATTTTACAATAACTGATGATAGTTGATAGCTGTTATATTCATCATTACTGACACTAGTGTTTCCAAATTTATTAACACAATATAAATTGTACCAGCTGCTTAGGAACCCATACTCCCAGGGCATTGCCCTGGGTTACTGGATTACTAGTCCAATGTCATTACCACCACACCATCATCACTTCCATAAATACATACTGTGATAAATAAAGGAGAAATTAATAGAGATCTAGATCGTGATTGAGGTACTGAGATATTACCCACTAATATCTCATCAAAACACGGATGGAAAGAAAAAGAGACATTCATAGATGAATGATGTAAAAAGTTCTTACATTCCCAACTGAAAAAATCATGAGTATTAAGATTAAAGATAAAACAGCCATCCACAAGTAATCCTTCAAATACAAAAGAAGACGGGATCTCAATGTTGGCAAAGTCTTTATACATATCTGATTGTGTGAATTTGCCTGTAATTGCCATCATCTACGCAGATAGAGATGAACTAGCTTTGAATGTTCCTGTAAAGAAATATGTTGTGTAATGCATTAATGAAAAGATTGGGCTAAGATGGTGGCCTGATTCTGAGATGTCTTGCCTTTATCTTCAGTTCCTAACAGCAGTCAATGAAACCAGAATGTTCTGATTTGGAGAAACAAATAATATATCCCTTCATATTCATTCTGCCTGAAGTGGAGCAATAATGGTAGCCATTATAAGACCACCCTGCCAAGAAATCACTACCCCGCCTCACCCACCTATTTAAGTGTAGGTTCACAGCAGAATGAATAAACAGTTGCCGGACTTGATTTATAGATACAGTATGAAGAAAGAAAATTAGTTGTTATTTTGTCAATTATGAATATTCACAGACTTTTAAATTCATTTTTGAAGTTTCTAAGTCAGTAAATACTTCATTATATCAGTTCCCTTTCTATAGATTCTTGTTATTAGCATGTTCAGTATATGGTGATGTCATTAAACATTATGAAATGGCCATGTTGGTGTCTGTTTTTCTTTACAAATTCCTCCCAATATATAACAGATTTTGGTGATGCAGGTGCTATTAAAGTATAAAAATATACACATCAAATGGCAGTAGAGACAGTGACAGACAAAATAACTTTGTTCCGATTTGGTAGCTGCAAGGATATCAAAACTTTTGCTTGGGTTATGAAAGGCCTCTGAATTTTAATCTGTCTCCACAATAAAGCAAAAAATTGCATGGCCCTAGTGTCCATCTGAAGCAACAGCTGATTACATCAGCTTTGAAAAATACAACTTATATGAGCCCAATGCCTCCAGCTCTCCATGATCTACCTGACATGCTCCAATGAGGCTGTGTCATAATTTTGAGCTTTGTAGCTGTTGTTTGATCCAGGACTCTTGCAATGACATTCTGCCTTAATTTCAAATGTTTGAAGGAAAGAATGAAAATTCACTTTGTAGACCAACAGATCTTAATTTAAGAAAAATAGGCTTTAACATCCTGGAATGAAGAATTGTGAAGAATTATACTCTCCAGTATTTTAAGTGACGATTACAAAGATCCAAATAAGATTTTCCAAGACCCATAACTTTCAGGCCAGGGTCAATTCACAGGTTTGAGTTCATGTCATACCACTAACAACCAGGTAAAAATATTAACCAACTCATTGGCAGATGTTGATACAAAGAAACAGAGTGTGATTTCTCGGAATCTAACTTACCTGCAAGGTGTTGGAACTGGTCATTGCCTCTGCAATTATCAAATTATTCTAATAGGCACTTCTTGACAAACCTAAAGACTTCACTGTCAACACACAACTAGAAGAAGACACAAGTTTGAAGCAGTTTTAACAGCCCAGCATCATCGAGAAGTGCATGACTCTGCAACTAATATTACAGCCATCAACAAGAACAGCAAACTGGCCAAATGTGTATAAGATGTGATAGGTCTTCTCCACCAAATATTGTTCAACATTTCATGACATTTGTAAACTATGTTCTATAAGAGGACATTGGGCTAAAATTTAAGGGAGATGTTGTATTACACCTGAAAAATGATAACCATTGGCCCTTGTTGTAATTGCAATGTTCACATATAGGGTATGCACAGATAACACAGTGTGGAGCTGGAGGGACACAGCAGGCCAGGCAGCATCAGAGGAGCCCGAAAGCTGACATTTTCTGAAGAATTGTCCTGACCCAAAATGTCAGCTTTCCTGCTCCTCTGATGCCGCCTGGCCTGCTGTGTTCATCCAGCTCCACACTGTATTATCTCTGACTCCAGCATCGGCAGTTCACACTATCTCTAGGATATGCACAAGCTGGATTGGGATTCCACGGTACAAGATAACATCATCAACCAAGCTGAGCTGATTGGGGAAGCTCTAGTCCTTGTGTTTTGAAGAAAGATGGTACTCCACATGTATCTTCACATGCAAGACAACTGAAGATTGCACTAAAAAGATGCCCACACAGACTTCCTACCCTGAAAGGTGTGAAGCAGTTTACCAAGCTTGATGCTAAGAATAAATATTTGTCAATACATTTTTCCCAAGGGGCACAGGAACAGGCAACTTTTAGAACACCTTTCAGGAGATACTGTTTTCTCAATATTACCTTTTGATTATCTATTATAGCTGAGATATATTCTAACAACATATGAATCATATGGTAGAGAATGTGTCAGATTGATTCAGTATCACAGATGATTGTGCAGTTCTTGGGGAAGCCAAACACGAGCACAACACAAACCTTCATCAGCTCATGGAAGCAGCAAAAAGCAAGTCTTAGTTTTTAACAGCAAAAAATCAAATCAGCTTGAGCCAAATCAACTTCCTTGGCACAATCTGAAATATCCCTAAGTAAGCTACTCAAATCCAATTAGGCATAAAAATACATACTGGCCTTGCCAGCAATCCCCATATCCCATGAAAAAAATAAAATAAATATTGCATGCACAGAACTCAACGAGCCATATAATAACACTGGACAGTCTTTACAATGCTGTACAAATTTCTCTTGAAAAGAAAATACAATGCTCCTTTTGAAGCTCATTACACTGCTAATCAAAAACATAAGCATTGAAATTGCCCTTATGTATATCACTAATTCATCTGTCAAAACAAAGACAACCTCTTCAAAACATTTAATCATTTAGTCACATATCTATTCATAAAACAAAGCCCACAGCCCAGCCACAGCTATGTCAGTAACTCCTGCTGGCCTAAGACTATTAGTAAGGCTTGGAACTCAGCCTGACATTCATAATAAGATCATATGACATAGCTGAGTAAGCACCCAAGATATCAATGCAATGAATTCTTTGAAATTACCTGACAAGATGTCCAATTATCTCAGCCACGTTTTCCAAAAGCTTTATGAAGTTTCAATCAGAGAGGCCTTGCAACTGTACAGTTATTTTTTCTAAAATTTTAAAAGGTTTCTGAATTTTGAAAAAAATTATAATAATCAAACCAGAGTATCCAACTGACCCACTTATATCAGATTTTCAATACTGAATAAAGTAGGAGAGACAGCTACTGGATAAAATAATGTAATACATGTGAACACTTGTATAAAGCTGGTCTCTTTTATGTTCACTTTGCTTTTAAGGACTGAGCTATTTCAACAACTAAGGGATTGAAAATTATAATTAACCTACCATGCACCATTATAGTATGATTATTGAATTTGGCAAGAGATTTTGAACTTCTACACATTTTGATGTATTAAATGACTGACTCAATCTTCAAGGCTTTATAGAGTCGTCTTTAATCTAATGTTTAGTACAGAAAATGATAATGTAACAGCAATATTCAACTGACTATACCAGTGACAGGTCATTTTCTAATTGAATTCAACAATGTTTATCCACTTTGATTATAATATGGTTTGTATGAATACATATTTAGTAATGCGGGAAAAGAAAAACACACACAAGGAAATCAGCACAAGGGAACCCTAATGACTCTCTGCCACTGTGGAATGGTAAAGTATTTAATTTTTCTCAGTCCTTTTCATCGTCTTCTGCAAATACTGCCCGCTTCTCCTTTTTCATTAATTTTACACCTGGAATGAAGACATAAAACAATGTAAAGTAATGTGAACCATCCTAACGTAAAGTCAAGTGAAATTTTAAAAAATGTGTATTGTTGGAAAAAGACAGATTTTGTTGAAGCTTTTCACCTCGCACACATTCGGCCAAATCACAAGAAATAGAAATATGAAGAGCAATCAACATTTATTCTATATGAGAGGGGAGGGTGCTGACTGGTTGACAAGTGGATTTTGAGTGATGGACGCATTGCCATGAAACATGCACCAATTAGTGATGACTGACAGTTAGTTGCCAAGCTTTGTTTACATTTTAAATGAGATAAGTTGACTCTAATTGCTCAAGGCATTGCCTTCAGGAACTTATCAGAGAATGGCTGTCACCTACTTTATTGAATTGGAATGGGCATAGTGTGTGTCCATGCGCATTTCATTTGAAAAGAGGTCCCTGTGCATTAATGTATGTACATGGCAGTGCACTACCCTCTAAGCCAGGCAGACAATCCTAAATTGGTCATCAGGTTAACATTTCATTCAGTCAGGATTATTTAGTAAAAATTGTTCAGTTACAGAATGACATTTGATTTTGGACACTTTGTCATGTGTTTTGCAAGGGTGACTGGTTGAATACAGTTAGTACCTTTCTTGTTGTGAGCAATGATTGGACCTACTGTTTGATATGATCCACCAATGTTTGGTAGTATTGAATGCATACCTATCATCACACTGGCTCTCAAATACAGATGTCACATTACTTACTTGTGTGATATGTACGACATTTTTTGACTTGGTGGCTATATCCTGATAATGGTTGAACAGTTGTTGCATTGAGATACCTTACACTTCCAGAAAGATCTGATCAGCATAGCCATTATCCTGCAGAATGGTTATGATGCACCCTATTTCAGCATCCTGTTTGCACGTTGACCAAATGACACATGGTTTCCACATGAGGAAGCATGGTTGAGGACACACTAGTGGAGAGGCTGTAGATTGACATTTGGCTCCCTTTTTCACAATATTACTAATCAGTGTGGACTAAAAGTGAGAAGCAAACCAGTACACAAAATCAGTAAGCATGCTAGCTGTCTTTAGCTGTGCACTAAAATCATTGCAACAACATGCTAGACCTGTTTAATAAATAGCATCCTCGTACACAAAGCAGTTGGCAAAGTAAATGACATATTGACCTTTAATGCAGTAGAAGGATAAATAAAACATTCTTACAAATGTACATAGCTTTGGTAAGACAACACCAGAAAGTGTTTTTGGTCTTCATAATTAAAGAAGGATATGCTGATGATGTAGCAAAGGATCACTAAATTGGTTGCTGGATTGTCCTGTGATGAGAAGCTGAGGAATTGGGCTAACATTCGCTGGAGTTTAGAAGAAGAGAGATGTTGTCATTGAAACACACAAGATTATGAAGAGGTTTGATAGGGAAAATATTAAGATTTTGTTTCCCCCCAGTGGGGAATCACAATAAAGGGCCAATCATTTAGGATGGGGATAAGGAGAAATATCTTCGCTCAGAGCGTGATAAATTTATACAATTCCCTATCCCAGAGGATTGTAGATGTTCCATCATTTAAAGTAGTTAGAGGCGAGATTGCTACTTTGTCTCTCAGGGAGTCAAAGGATATAGAGAGGGGTTGGGAAATTGGAAGTGAAGTTCAAGATCAATCATGATCATATTGAATAAAAGAGCAGGCTTGCTGTACTATATGGTCAAGTCCAGCTTCAATCTCTTATGCTCTTAATAACCATTTGTTTTAAAACCTGTCATTGTACTGAATAACTCAATGTCTTCCCACTGATGGTCCACCAACTACAAGGCACAAGTCAGAAGTGTGATGAAATTCTCTCCACTTACCTGATGGGAGCAGTTCCACCAATTCTCAAAAAACTCAATAACATCTAGAATAAAGCAGCCTACTTGCTTAGCACTCTATCTACAACCTACAAAACTCACTTCCCTTTGCCACTCTCACACATTGGTAGCAGTGTGTACAATGTACGAGGTGCACTGCAGTAACTTATCAAGGTTACTGTAAAATGCCTTCTAAATTCATGACCTCTACCAGCTGGAAGGGCAGCAAATACAAAGGAACATCATGAGCTGCCAATTCTTCTCTAAACCACACACTGATTTGGAACTATGTTGCTGTTCCTACATTGTTGGCGTGTATTCATCTGACAAGATGCTTTAAATTTATTTCTTGCAGAAAGGTTGAATCTTGTTTCTCCTTTGTAATCCTGTTAGGGAAATAACTATATCCGGATATAACAACTTCACTTTTCTAACGAGCATTATATTCTGAAAACATTGGTGGACAATCATACCTGTCATATAGCAGTTTTCACAATGGCTAGTATATGTTTAGTTTACTGTCTGAAGGCATTTTTTTCCCTATTATAATTTTTAACCTTCCCCTGAAGTAACCATTCTATGCTACCAATCTGACTGGTTTTCGTGCGAATGTTTTGTTTCCCTTCTAGGTGACATTTTCAATGTTGTCTAGCCTTTGTCGAAGCACTTTTGTTCTTTCACGCTCTGAATTTATGTTGTCCGGTCTGGCATGGTGGGTAGTGCTCTTTCCAGTTTTGTACTGTAGTGGTATGTAGATGGGGTCTATTTCAACATGTTTGTTTATCGAACCAATGGTTGAAAACCAGGCCTCCAGGAATTCTCGGGCTTTGTGAGAAATCCTGGAAGCCTGGTTTTAAACCACCACTGTGATAAACAAACATGTTGAAATAGACTCCATCTACATACCACTATGGTACAAAACTGGAAACAGGACTACCTGCCATTATAGACCGGACCATATAAATTCAGAGCGGGACAGAACAACAGTGCTTCAACAAAGGCTAGACAGCGCTAAAGATATTACCTAGAAGGGAAACAAAACATTCGCACGAAAACCAGTCAGCTCAGTGAACCAACCAACAACTCCAACCACAACCCAAGCTGTAGATCTTCATTAAAACATTATGCTACCAATATTATGATCCTCAAATCTGAAAAGTCACTTTGTGAAGGATAAAATTGGAACCAGCCTTTATAGAAGTGCATATTTATTTACAGAGTTACACATTGCAGGAATGCAACTCTAATAATTCAGGAAGCCTGACTGGAAAGGAATATTATTTATTATTGAACACCAAAATAGATCCAGTGCTTGTGGCATACATAGGTTGTCCTGGCCTGGGACAGGCAGTGCTGCAGACCCATTCCTGGGTCTACCTTATTTGGTATTTATTTAACCTATTTTTCTAATCAACTTGTTCAGAAATGTTATTACACACCTCTGGAGCAAGGGCTCAGGTGATGAGTTCCAGATGGGCAGGCATTGCCTGTGACCAAGCAAACTCATACTCAATGAGCTTTAAAGGAGATTAATTAGTGATTCCACTGGGGGCACATTGCAGGGGTCATCACAGACTCCTAAGCTAATAACCATAATTTTAAATTTTGCCTATTTCTAGTTGCTTGAGCTCCTCTCCATTTTATTGTAGTTGTAGCTGCAAAACACCAAGTACTGTTGTGCCCACACTCTGGTCCCTTGGGAAATCAGGCTTCTGGCCTGAAAATGTTCTATCAGGGACTAAGTGTTCAAGAATCCATCCCAAAACTCACTCTTAGAGGGTGATGTGCCTCCTCTGTTCACACACTCTTTCCAGAGATAATGATTCATGTTATTAGGGTATGGAAAGAAATTCCCTTCTCTGAAGAAGGCAGGGGAAGGCCAGCTAGTCCAACCAAGAAAGTCACTGAGGCTGTTAATAGCCAGCATTGGTACTGGGTACATTGTTTAATGGAAATTTGCTTGCCTTACATCATCTGTTCATTAATCTGAATTGGAGAGTCAAGTGGCTTACTCTACACATTGAGCCAGAAGGTTCTAAAAAGACTTGAGCAACCTTTAAATAACATATATATATTGATACTTAAGTTCTACAATGTTCTGTAAATCACTGGAATAAGAACTGGTGTCAGAAATCAGATGTACAGCAACCTTGATAATACACAAGTGGTGACATGAGTACATTACTCCAAGGAACTGGACCCTGTGCCAGAGAAAGTGTAATGATCTCTTGGAAAAGTGAGTGCCTTGCAGTTTTCAACTGGCAACCATCACTTTGGCAAATTCTGAACAGTTGTCTTCACAGTAATCTTCTGACAATCGCACATTGTTTCTAAACAGTAGAGAGTGCAAATATGTGAAATAAATTCTATGAATACAAGTTCAGGGAATAAGGTTCATGAGTGAATTTTCAGCAGTGAGGGAAATGGTCCTCTTACTATTTTAAAAAATTAGGAGGGGGGATCCAAGAGAGAGTGTGAGATAGTGAGAGACTATGACTTAAAACCTAGATGCAATAGTTAAAATTATTAGTTTAAACATGATCCTAAGTAGATTCTAAAAACAGCACTGAAGATTTTGTTTCAGATTATGACTGTGCATTGATGAGTAGTCACTTCCAATTCCTGTACCATGTTACAACTTTATGGTATTTCAAAAGTCTCGGGTATTCATGTTCATAGGAAGTGTACCCAGCTGCTCCAGTTCATGCTCAAAGTTTTCAACAGGGTGTGCAGTGGCTATGAATCATCAGGGAGGCTGAGAATATTCTAGATTGTAGGGTCAGAAAATGGTCATTTCACAGGAACAGAGAGTTCAGGATCATAGATGAATGTCCGTCAGAAGACCAGGAAGACCAGGATTCTTCAGGGCCTGTGCCATTCTCAAACTCATATTCAGCATTGAACACAATACCTTGAAAGGAGTACAGTCCTAACAATTTCAGAATGGGCAAGGAACTGCACAGGGGCAACCTCAAAATGGAGAAATGCAAGCATTACAGAATATTCCAAAGGTAGGACCATACAGGTTTTCCTGTAACTGTCATCTTGCGATCTGCATTATGTATTACTGCATGGAGCTAGAGTAAGGGACATCACAGAAAGAGTGCAGAATATTCTGTAGGTGGAAGGCAATGTACTATCAGTT